TAAATTCCCAAGAACCAGTAGAGGTCGTGGTATAAATAAAAATCCATAATTTTTTTTGGGCTTCTTATAGTATTTCAGAGTTCAATACAATATTCAAGATGTTCTGAAAGTACCCGGCATACTTTAATTAAGTCAAAACAAGTAGACAAAGATTATGGACCAGAGTAGTATGTTTTTGTATGTCACTTCAGAAACGAATACATGAGGCCAAAAATATAATGTATTCTGTATTCTTATTCGATAGCCAAAAGAATTTGGTATTGGGAATTCAGAAGTGCTTCCATGGATGCCTCTTCTCCAAGTCGAATGTTCAGTCTGTTCATATGGTTGAAGGCAATCTCGTAGTTATAGTCATCGCACTCCACGTTGAAGTTTGTGCCGTCGGTTATCACCGCATGAGGTAGCTTATAATCATTGCCACCGTGAACTTAGATGCATTTCTCCTTCACCTCTTGAAGAGACACGAATGCTTTCAACACAGTGTCCACAGGCAGTTCATAGAAATAGGTTTCCACAGCATCAATGACATCCTCGATTGTTCGAGAGCACTTCTGACTCTGCAACTTTGACTAGATTTAAAAATCCTAACAGTACGTCTAAGCACACATCAGACAGAGCTCTCAACGGCTACCGCGAAACCTGAGGTACTTGCCGAATGGCGTCTTCAATTTCTGTATTCCATAGCACACATTTAGAAACCATTTCCTTTTTCAAAATAAAAAACCATATAGGAATATAGAGGTAAATCTCGGTTTTGCTATTTGAAATGGTACAAATGTGGCCCGCTCGTTACGAATGCAATCCGCGGACCCAAACGCGCGACACAATACCCCAGTGGCAGTTAAACTGCTTGGCAAGGCACATGATGGCACTTCAAGGCAAAGTGCCAGAGGACGAGACGGTAATCAGACTCTAGTAGATGGCGCGGCGCTCCACCTGAAGAGGAGGGTTTTGCCGTCATTTTGGCCATGGGGGTTCCGTTGGTGATCGGCAGTGATGGTAGCGAATTGCATTGGCATGGTTTAGATTAGAGTGATGAGTGTGTGCTATTCGTGCGATATAAAATTGAGTTTTGAGGAAAGTGTGATGGGTCAAAGATTGGACGAAATGACACGGCAATTTTCGCGCCCAATATCTCATGAACGAAAACGCTAAAGAAAGCTCATAAACTCTCCTATCAAAGCAGCGATCTTGCGCTTTTAAGTGCACCCATCGCCTCTGAATTTGGGCGACATTTAGAAAAATTCCACGTATCGGAAGTCGTATCCTGCAACTGCGTTGGACCAGAGTAGTATATGGTAACAGCTCTCTTCCAAAATCTGACGGTGTGTATTCAATACAGATTGTTAGTCTACATAAAGCCGACAATTGATACCTCTATGTATCAACACAATACGTGAAATTACTGAGGAGATATCGAGGGCCGAAGTTGACAGAAAGAGGTGCCGACAAACGATTCGCCACGTTAATAATTGCCGAGTCTGATTCGGCCGAGATATAGCTGCAAGCGTATGATTGGATAAATTTGAGATGATTTGACTAATATCACGATCAATTCCCATGGTGGTGGCGGTGACACGCATCCCTACACCGTGTCCCACTGCCTAAACGGCTACTACTGCATGAGATACAGCCTGATGCAAAATGTTAAGACATCATTTCAATTTGATATATCTCATCAAATATGAAGAGGCATTTATATCAGAAGGTAATGTAAGATTCATTTTGAAGAACACGAGAATACAAGTCTTATTGCAGACATTTTGAATAAAAAATCATAAGAAATGTATACAACACTGTTTCACGACCTATGCAAATTGTTAAAAACATGATGCAAAACTTCCCGCCACGAAGAATTCAAATGAAGTACTTTCTTCAAAGCAAGTCTGTTGACCTCAGTTTCCATTCCGCAGCCTTGACGACACATTTCAACCGCGAGATGGGCCATGTCGCACAGCTGACAGAGCTCGAAGCAAGGCAAGATCGAAGTGTGCGTCGAATTCGGCCTTAGTGTAGCCGAGACAGCTAACTTCATCAATCGAAGTCGTACAGTTGTCTACAACTACCTCCGGGACCCAACGACCTACGGCAAGCGATTCTCTGGTGGCCGCCCAACCAAGCTCAGTGACCGTGACATACGCCACATATTTTCTTTGCTGATGAGGGCAAAGTTGCAAAAAAGCTGCAACGAATTTAACACGAGCTCAACCTCTGCGTCCACCGAACAACCATCTCACGCCTGCTTGACTCGCCCACACGGTTTCAGTACATGAAGATGAACAATAAGTCACGTCGTACCGGAAAACATATGCAAGATCGAGTGCGTTGGGCGGAACAATCGTCGACATCGGTTGGGATTCCTTGAGTCGCATCATCTTTTCGGATGAGAAGTAGTGGAACCTTGATGGTCCCGATGGCCTCAAATCCTACTGGCATTGCATTGGACGTGACGTAAAGGTCACATTCAGTCGCCAAAATGGTGGCGGCTCGGTTATGGTGTGTGGCAATTTGGGCTGATGGAAAGTCGGAGTTGGCATTCTTGGAAGGCCGCCAGGAATCGTCTGCCTACATCACGACGATTTTTGACTTTTTGCTCCCGTCTGCCCATGCTAGCTTTTCTGATATGTTTGTCTTCCAGCACGATAATGCCTCGATTCATTCGTCAAAAGAGACGAAAGAATTGATTGATGAAAATGGCATTGTCACGATGAAGTGGCCAGCCCTTTTTCTAGACCTCAATCCGATTTAGAATGTTTGGGGCTACCTATTGCAACGTGTGTATGGCGACGGAAAACAATATGCGACTAAAGAGGAACTCAAGCTTGCCATTTTGGCGCACTGGAATGCTCTGGCCCCCGAGTACCTCGAAAAGGTTATTCGAAGCATGAAGTCCAGCTGCATTGCTGTTTTGAAAGCCAATTAACTACTAATGGAGGGATTGTGCATATATGAAGTGTTGTTGAGGGCGCATATGTGCGCTGTTAGATTGTTTTCATTATTTTGCACACCAACGAATTTTCGAATTTTGTGTGTCATACGTTTTCTCAGCAATTATGAAATGCAGGTTTGAGTTGCTTTCACTTTGGAGCCCAAGCGAATTACAAGAACATGAACGTCTCCTCGCGCACGCTTTTGTTGTTCAAGATATGGGCGATATTACAGTAGCGGTGTCTTAACGTTGCGTCAGACTGTACTCCATGAAGGACTTGGCTCACGTCTATTGCAAGTCTCAAAGTACTATCACCAACTGCAGACTACGAAGAGAGTAGATCATTCAATTGTGCCGATGCCAATCGGGACGTGAAGGTCAGTGACGTCCAGAGGTTCAACGACTTTCAGAAGCACCCGCTTGCATACCTTGATGAAGTCTCGACGTGCGTACGATGGGGTACTCGTGGAAGTCGCAAACTCAGTCTAGGCTCGTGTACGCTGAGGATATGGAGAAACTCGTGCCGGCGTGTGCTGTGGCGTGATTGCCGTGTGATCGTTGTCGTCTTTGTCCTCATTTGACGTCGCGATGGTGAAGTTTAGCAATGCTCGAGGTGAAGAAGTGACAACATTTTTGTGTGTTTTCATATAAATAATTTTATGGAGGTTGAGTCATTTCGCGGACATTCGGATCTGGGCTTGTTTTCGTTTTTTCAGTGAAATTTGGATTCTGTGTCGATTTGCCTCCAAAAATACTAAAATAAGTGTACCATACAAAGCTGGATACTACTTCGTATTGATTTTTGGTGATGAACACTAAGTCGTTGAGAGTTGGCTCGTAAGAGAACACAGACCAGACCCGTCGGACTCATGCTTTGCCAATGACACAATGTTCGGACGTGCATACAAGAAGATCCGTTCCTTAATCGCCTCCCAAGGCGCTCCCTCGAACACGGCTGGAGTCGTTTTCCATTGTGGTCTCGACCATAGACGGTCTCCTTGACGATAACGTCGGCTCGCATTCGGTACAGATTCGTGGCAGGTTGCCCTGTCGAAGCTGGTGGTGACTTCGAAGACCGTGTGTTGTATCGGCGACTCGGTGGGGTCTTTGTGTGAGCTCCATCCGCCGAAATAGAGACAGCGCAGCAGATGAAGGAAAATGAAATAATGCGTTTTGATTGGTTAAGGCGATTCTCATTTCGATTTGCCAAGTCGAATCGGTTCGACTTGGAACTCCAAATTTGAATCAAATTGACAATAGATGCCTGTGGTATTGTAAAGCTATGTTGATTCGACCACCCAGTATAATCCTTGGGATTCCGTTCCACAAAACCTGTCAAAACTTATCGAATTTCTGGCAAAACCCCACCCTTGACTACAAAAGCAGCACTTCGTCGAATACACCTCGAGAGTACTAGTACTACTAATGTAGGTCAGGAATACTAACTACTATACTAGGACGCTCTGAGCAACATGTGACGTGTTTGGGGGTGCCGACACACCCGTGGCATGTCTGGTACATTGAGCTCTATGAGAGAGCAATTCAAGTGAGGTCATAGGTCGCGATCATTCTGGCGTGCGACGGCATTCGGACATTGCAATTTCAACTGGAGCTGGGGGGGACCGTCACAAGTCGTGTGAGTGGCGAGACGTTGCGAATTGAAAGGTCGCGAGATCCAATTCGTCGAACAACAGCAGAGATGGCGGACGTGGACTCGAGCGGCGGTGTGCCGGCGGTGGCGCCAGTCGCTGCGTCCAAGAACGCGCAGGTCATCAAAGTGTACATGCCGACGTACATCATGGCCCCGACAGAAGACGAACGGTCCGTGGCGCGTGTGGTTTTTCATCGCGGCCGCTCGACTTCATGGACGTCTTGTAGATTTCGTCGCAAAACCGTATGTGCAATCGTATCGGAATGTCTGGTGAAAGAGCTCGAGAACAAAGAGTACGACGAGGACGACGCCAAGGTCTGGGCAACCGCGATCGCGGACGCTGTGAAAAATCGCATTCGCAGTACGACTCGGTATTTGAACGAGGTGGTTGTAACAATATGTCGATGTGCAGCGGAATGCAACTTTCCTCGGTACAAAATCATCGTGCAAACATTTGTGGGCCAGCAAAAGCTCCAGGACGTCCGCATTGCGTCGCGGTGCCTCTGGGACAACGACCACGACAATCACGCGTCGGCCGAGTTTGCTAACGTATGTCGCGGCGCTTCTGTCGCTCTCACCCCTGGCATTGCCGTAGCAATCGATTTGGGCCACGTGCATTGTGTTTGGAATGTACTCGGATTAAGCCTTTACCAAGCGCGACGAACCGCCCACGACTGGACCATGGCGCAGGCCCCCATATCGTGCATTCGACACCTACGTTAGAGATCGAGCCCAAGTGGTGCATTCCCTCGAAACCGAACATGACCGTATTCACACGATCGATGTACATGCCACAGCCATGCTACTGCGACGAGATTCAAGCCCGAATCTTTGAACGACGGCCTTGTCATAACCATGACGGCGCATTCCGTCGTGTCTGCAATCTGCATCGCTTGTGCTGTGAAAGGATTGCAAGATTGAGTTGATTGGGATGATGCCGCGACGATTCCAAGCGTCACGGTCCAGGGTCCATGGAAATGCAGCGCAGCCTGTCAAGGGCCCACGGAGAAATAGATAGTGGTTGGTATTCTAGCGAGACTGAACTAAAACTGTCGGAGCAAGGCACGTTTATGCCGACTGGGCGGCAATCGCCTCCTTGGAGATCTGGAGGTCCATGTCTTCTTCGTGTGTACACAACGTATGGAGATTGTCTAGTAGAAGGCGCACTTCCATCTTGAGCTCGATCGCGTTTGGGTATGTGATGAGCTTGAGCGACTTGGCGTGGAACGGCGACCGCCCCGACGATGACATTTTCAGGTTGATTAGCGCCTCGCGCTCTGTTGGACCGTCTCCAATCGAAATGATATGCTTGGGCGGCGACGAGTTGTCGGCGACGCTGTCGCAGTAGTACACTTCGTGCTGGAACGCCTCAATCTTCCACTTCTTCGGAGACCCAGGGTACAAGTCTTCGTACGTAGACCGTGCCGAAACGACCTTAATGTGTTCGCTGATGATAGGGAGGCACCGCGGCATGAACAGTGACGCGGACAGCTCGACCCATCCTGTTTCTGCCGCCGTGATGATCACGACACGACCATACTTGACGGCGCTCTCGAGCAGTTCAACGACGCAATCTTCAAGTTCTTCCAGCTGGGACTTGACGTCGTCGGGGATGATGGGTTTCTCGTTCACGTATTTCGGCCGCAGACCCAGCTTGCCGACCCATGTCGATGCCAACAACGTATCGTCTATCGTCGGATGAACGCTCGACAACGACGCACGAGCCACGTACCCCAGTCCAGGAAGATCACGGTGTCGTTGGTGAGGTCGTCGAGCACAGGCGCATCGGGTGCGAACACGTTGTCTGCCGGGAATCCATTCGGCGCCATTCGCTTCTCGTGCGACGCAGACGTCCAGACCAAGAATGGACGTTGTTTGCGGCACACAAGTGACCTGCGAGACGCTTCTGCCATTGGGCTATTACCGTATTTTAAATCCACGCGTAAATGTTATCCTGGTTTTTGTATGCAATACAATAAATGTCCAATTCTGCCAACTGATGTGTGTAATAGGTCATTCAGTTTGACAGGTTTTTTGGCACCGCCCCCATACAATTCCCGTGTCACTCGGCACCGAAACCCTTCAAGGTACCTCCAAAAATCCATTTTCACAGGGACGCTTTGCCTTGGCGATTCTGATCCCACGGTGGCGACTCGAAATTTCTCGACGACGACACCGTGCATGACCGAATGCGTTGGGCAATCTGGCGTTCGCTGCTTGCTGTGTCCAGGCGAACCGCCATGCGTATCAGCCACGTGCAAATGCAACAACCTCGCTTGCGTCAAGGCGAATTCGGAAGCCACAAGCACGCACGTCGTTGACTCGACCGAGCGTTCGAAAGCGGACAGGTTTTATGTGCAAGTCAAAGTGCTATGTCCATGCCATCGTTCCAACAACACACGACACTTCATTTGTGAAATGGTCCTACTGGCCACCTCGGATGGTTTATGTGAACGCGGGTTCAAAAACGTGGCGGCCGTGGCGTGTCATCTCGCCCAAATGGATGGCACACGGCACCCCTCTCGTGACGCAGTGATTGGATTGGCTAAATGAATTTGCATTGCGGAATAAAGCCATTTGATTGGTCCTTTCAAACCATGACACCGCCGGGTCACCTCCATCTGTGGCCCTTCAACGTTGCCGATGCCAGCACGTGTGGGATGCCACGTCAGAGACGTGCGCGAACAACGAGGGCGACGGCACGAATGGACCTTACAACAGCTTAACTCGACGTTCGACACAGCTAACGACATCCATCGCTCGGTTTAGATAAAGTCGGATGACGAGACGACGTCGCAGTCGTCCCATTTTTTGGAGCTGGCGACGGGCACGCACTTCCACCCGTAGTAGAAGAACGCGCCGAGGCAGCAGTAAAACGCCGCGCGGATGTACGCGCCGTCGATGGGAATGTCAAAGGCAAAGATGTAGATCGTCGTGCAAAAGAGCGCGAGGGCGACGGCGGTGGCCGCTTCCGGCTTGCGCAGGGGCAGCATGAACTTTTCAGCAAACAGGTTGCGACGCAAGACGACGGCCGAGAACCCGGCGAGGACCATCAAGAGCGAGTACGTGTGGGCGTTCGGGCCATCCTTGAGCTTGAGGACCCACGCGAGGGAAAACCCGGCATAGCGCAACACGATGTTGACGTTTTCGTTTGCGATCGAGAGGAGGTGGACGACGAGGAGGTACAGAAACGAGAGCCACAGCACGTCGAGCATGCCGTTCCACTGATCCGTCGTCAGGAATAGCGGCGAGTTCGTCGCACGTTCGTACACGTCGGCAGCGTTGGCCAAGCACGACACAACGACATGAAACACCCCGACAAACAGTTCAAAGTGGCGATGATTCTGTTGCATGATCGAGAGCGACGGAATGACAGACAGGTCCGACGCAACTCGCAGCGGAAAGCCGACCCCGAGGCGGGCGACGGCCGACAGCACCTCCATCTTGCTGCTGCGTGTGGTAAGATATGCAGGGAAGGCAGTGGGTTGGAAAATGACCCCCGGTGAACGTTGCCATGCGCCAAGGGTCGCCGCCCCCCATCCTGTTATCGTTCTGTCTTTCGACAATCTCGACAATCTTTTCCCACAACATATCTTCACGCACCAAGAGGATGGAAAGTTGCAGCAGCCGTTTTTTGTGACTCTTCGATACGGCGAATCCTGTCGGAGCGACCGCCCCTGCACAGGTTGCCACACGAGTCGCCCATGGACATGAGAGAGTTTGTTGTCTAGACTACCGGGCTGAATGATACCTGCCTCTTGACGCCGCCATCAGTGACGATTTGCAAATGTCTGCATCGCGGCAGCGCAAGGTGGGTTGCTGGCCTGGGCCACATCCGTGAGGCTGGTGTATTACACGCATAAATGGATCCCGCCAGTGTCGGA